ACATTTATAGCAGTTTTATAGCAAAACTTTTGAAGAATTAATGTACATACAGTAAGTAAGGAGAGGAACAGGTGGAGAGAGGTTTGAAAGCAATGTATTGAACCAAATGGGTGTGGGCTGTTGCCTCTGGCTCTGGTTGGGAGCTGTTGGGAAGCCGCCCCGCTGAGCTGGCCTGACCTTGGGAGGTTTGGTGGCTACGTCTCACCCCTGGCTGGACTCTTACCCTCTTGACTTGGTCATGTTTTCCAGACTTGTATTGAAGGGGTAATAGGCACCAGTCTGTAGCTTTTGGAAGAAAATGCCAGATATAAAAAAAGAAAACAAAATTTATGCCAATTCTCTTATTATTTCGCATGGTAGCTTCCGCCAGCTGTGCTTGGGAGAGGTGGGAGCGATGAAAGCACAAAGTCATGTGTTCTTTGGAGAAGGAAACGGTAGTGGCAAGATTAAAATGCTGACACAAAACTCTCTCGCTTTCTGACCCTTTTACCTCCTACGGTTATGCTCCTAACTGGAGACAGACAAACTGTTCTTCCTTTCTCTTTTCTAAAGTAAAATCCCAATTCAGTGAACTTGGTAGCATGAATGTAGCATTGTGGAACTATTGAAAATCATATTTAACTCCGAAAGGGCCCGTTTATGTATCCACTTCAGTGATTTCTCTGTAGAACTATTGTGTATCTATCCTCATTGACCACTTGTAGAACTAGGGGTGCAAAGTAGAAAGGTAGATTGTACAGTTGCATAACTTCTATAGGAAGATGTATGTTTGAATGAACATTACAGACTGTTTTACTGGTGCAGTTGACTATAGTGTAGTATTATGACAAACAATGAATGCATTTCTCTCTTTTCCAAAGATCTATATTCCTCATAGTTTGTGATGTTTATGACATGAGCATATTATTTCCTTTGTAGCGTTCATTTGACTAAAGAGATGAAATACTCTAAAAGCTGTGACTGGAAAGACAATAGAGTTTGGATGTTTAAAGTCCTTTGTGCAAACAGCATCATTGAAGTTAACCATTTCTGAAAGAGGAAAAGACATTTCTTCCCCTTTTTAACTGGTTGAATTTTTCAAGTGGCTGCTGGGAAAGGAAGGGATCAGCAGAGGATAGGATGCAAAAAGAAAAAATAAATTTGTCATTATTTAAACTTGAGAGTTAAAAATAGAGCCTGCAACTTCCTCAGTTGGACCAGCGTGTAAAGGAAGACCTCTGGGTGTGCGCTCGCTGCTAGCACGCAGCCCGGTCACAGCTGGGACGTCGCCTCCGCAGAGGCCAAGCACCCATTCCTCGCACCCCAAGCGCCTCTGCAGCGTCTTCTCCGGGGCGCGTTGAGGAGAGGCCCGGGCAGCGCCTGCGGGGCACGGCTCACCCGCAGGGTGCTCTGCCTGCGGGAGCTGTGGCTGCAGAGTACACCAGACAATTTGTCGTTCCGTTATTACCTGCTTCTTCCAGCCTTCCGCTCCCTGCTCTTGGGCTGTGTCTGTCTGAAGCCCTGAAACCCGTTTGTTCCCTCACAGTCGGTAATTGCCGTCTGAATTGGCTTGGTGGAGCTCACCTCTAATGCGGGTAATTGGAGCGAGCAATTTACGGCGTGGTTGAGCTCCCGTCCCCACCTGCTGTGTTAGAGGATCAGCAGCCCTGTCACACCGTTATGCTTGGCCCCACCGTGGGGACCTGCTACTGCAGCTCCTGCGTGGTCTGGATTTGCTTTTAGCAAGGCCTGGAGAAATGGAGGCACTTGGTTAACCCTGGAGAGAAGCAGATTAAGCTGGAATAGCTAAATTGGGTGCCAGCCCTGGCTGTTCACCCCAGCCGTGCACGCGAGTTTCTGCTGCTCTTGCCGTGACCTCAAACCCCTTGCTTGGCCTGATGAACGTCAACAGAGAGCTCTGCTGCTTGCATTATGGCTTGGGCTGGGACTGTCACCTCCAGGAGAGGAGAAGGGTGGGCAGCGAGGGTATCAGCTGTCCGGTCTGCTACTCCTCAGCCTGGCTCGAGTTTCTGCTGCTCTTGCCGTGACCTCAAACCCCTTGCTTGGCCTGATGAACGTCAACAGAGAGCTCTGCTGCTTGCATTATGGCTTGGGCTGGGACTGTCACCTCCAGGAGAGGAGAAGGGTGGGCAGCGAGGGTATCAGCTGTCCGGTCTGCTACTCCTCAGCCTGGCTCGTGCTGGGAGCAGGCCGCAACTGCAGAGAATATTCAGTGAGCTGTAGAGGCTTGGGAGGGAGTCGTCATCTTGATCGTGGCACATGTCTTATACAGGATTTTCCAGAGAGGCTTTTCTCTTTTCCTTTTATCTGGCTGGGAAGGAAAGGGAAGAAGAAAATTCAAGTTACCTGAGGGACATAGAAATAGGTAGAAAATTGAGATAAAGCTTTTTGTACCTCTTCTCATGCTGCAGCCACCAACTTCCCTTTGCAGCTGACCTCCAGGCCTGGGATGGGAAACGGATGAGTTACCAGATAATCCCTTCCTGCATTAAAAAAACCAAAACCACACACACATGAAAGAACACAACCCCCCTAAAAAAACAGAATACTTTCTAGTTGTAGCAAAACATCTACTGCAAAAAGCAACCAGCTCGCTCATCCTGCCCGGTGCAAGGACTCTGCTGTGTGCGTCCGTGGGATCCCACCCACTTCTGCCTCTGAGTGCCTCTAGAGCTGCCCGAGCCACATCCCACGGCCCATGGCAGGGCTCTGCTCTGCCTCTGTGAAGGGGACTCTGGAAATGAATCTGTTCTTCGTTTCTCAGCCTGGACTTGTTGCCTGAAGCTTGGCACAAGTTTCCTGCCCCAGGGACTTCTGGGGTGCCAGTGTATGTGTGTTCGTGTCGTCTCTTCGCGCACAGGCTCTTTCCCGTGGTCTGGGGGAGATGCTCCACCTCGACTGCCCCCACTTATCTTGCCATATGCAGTAAAGCGTGAGGCAGCGTTATCGTTGTTGTCCGTGCTGTGTTAGCATCTCTCCAGCTTCTGGCACGCATCCATTTCACAAATAGCTGGTGTTGTTTCAGGACGTGACTGTGTTGGTGACCTGTGGCTGGGAGTTCCTGTTCCCAAGGCTCTGCTGGCAGAGTGACTGCAAACGCTGCTTCGTCACCTTCAGGCAACACAAGTGGGGTTAGTTGAAAGAATGGAAAATGCTGATTTTCAATAGCCAGCCTGGCAGGATCTGGAAATGCGAGTGTGTCCTTAACCCCAGCCCAGACAGGAGATGGAATGACAGGCTCGCTCTGCTCTCTTGTCTAAGTGTAAACACTCAATCCATCAAAACCCAGTTTAAGAGTCACGCTTATGTATTATTAATGCATCGGTCCAGGGTAAGGTGTGTTACGGTATGATTAAAAAAAAATCCTTCCAGGGCCCTTGGCAATGGGCATGTGTTGCCGGAATCGTGCATCAGAGGATGCGCTGGGTTGTGCTGGGACACAGATTTGCAGGTACACGTGAAGCTCAATCGCTCTGTACCCTGGGTTTTGCTGTGACAGTCCCTGGAGCTGGTGATACAGACAGCCCTTCCTGAAGGATGCCACGCAGATATCCTCCCAGGGGATATCGAGCGGCAATATTTTCCACGCTGTCTGTAAAAAGTTGTTTGCAATCCTGCGTTTTGTCCCACTGATCACAGAGTATCGGTGGCTTTCTGCATTTGGCATGGGAGTGTTTTTTAATTCTCAGTTATGGAAACACAAGACAAAGTCAACTGGAAACTGTTACGGTCTTGATGACAAGTCGGCCTGCTAATAATATCATATAGACGAGCTGAGTGAGTAAATGGGTGGTTTAATGACCGTAAACCTGATTGTGATCATTGTTACTCCCAGGTAATCCTGCTGTGTAATCGGCAGAATTAATAACAAGATACCAGAGTTTGCTGTCTCTGCCCAAAATGCTGGTGCACAATCCCTTGCTGAGATTGTGCATG